CGGAGGGCAGGTGGGATCCAGGGGCACCAGGCCACTCACTGCAATTGGCGGGCTCATCGCTGCCGTCCACACAGTCGTTGTCCCGGTCACAGACCCAGACTCGGGGGATGCAGCGCTTGGTGATGGAGCACTGGAACTGGTTGGGGGCACAGGTCACTTCGGCTGCAGAGTGGGGGAGAGAGTGAGGACCTGCCCGTTCCACCCGCACCACAGCTCAAGATCACCACCTTCTCCCTCTTCCAAGCTCTGGCCCTGGTCCTGCCAGCAATTTCTTAGGAGAAAGGGACCATTTCGCTCCAGTTTGGGTGCTTTTGGTCTGCACATCTCTATGCCGAGCATGATGATTTTATGAGCAAGCCAAGTCACACCCAATATAATTTATGTTGCCCATCTAATAACGTTCCTGGAGAGCAGGCGCGGCCCCTAGAAGAAGCGGTGGGTAGATCTCACTGTGGACTGTGTTCTTGTGCCTGTCTGCCCACCAGCCCGCTTCCTGCCCACAGTTCCGGGCACTCACGGCAATCCCTCTCGTCCTCCCCGTCCCCACAGTTGTCTTGCCCGTTGCAGCGGAAGATGCCGGGAATACAGCGGTTGGTGTTGGTGCACTTGAACTGACTGGGCAAGCAGACGTGGATATCTGTGGGAGGTGGGAAGGAGGGGAGGGTAACTAATGGAGGGCAGAGGATTCGGGGGCAGGGAAGGGACGCCCCACCCCCTCGGGAGTGAGCCTTTGGCTTCAGGGCCCAGAGTAGCAGGAGTCCAGCCTGGAGAGGAGGCTGTTGTGGGCCGAGCTTCCTTGCCCTCGGAGTGTAGTATGAAACCTCCAAATCCCAGGGAGGGAGAAGGGGGGGGAAGAAGGGCAGCCGGTGGCTGGGCAGCCCTTTACCACAGTTGGCCTCGTCACTGTTGTCCTGGCAGTCATTGTCCCCATCACAGATGAAGGCAGGGTTGGTGCAGATGCCCGTTGAGCACTGGAACTGTCCCGGGCGGCACTTGAACTCGGCTGCCAGGAGGGGAGCCTCAGAGTCAGAAGGGCTGGGGCTGGGCATGGCCACTCAGAGCCTCGGGAGTCAGGCTGCCGCCAGCCAGGACCCTCTTGCCACCCCTGCTCTGGGCACTTACGACAGTCCGGGGGCTCGTCTGAGTGGTCCCCACAATCGTCCTCCGTGTCACACTTCCACCAGAAGGGGATGCACTTGTCGTTCTTGCACACAAACTGGAGGGCAGGTGGGGGCAAGAGGGGTTGGTGGGGGTCTGGGGAACTTGGGAGGATTTCTTTTGAGGGGCTGGGATGTTTCAAAGAAGCGAGAGGGTCAGGGTATTTTGTGGGGGCGCTGAGCTGGATGGAAGGTTGGGATGTGAGGAGTGCAGGAAGGCCAGGTGATGGGGTATCCGTGGGGGGGTCAGCGTGGGGGTTACTGGGGAGGGAGGGCCAGGGTTAGGGTGTGGGAGTGTTTGTGTGAGGTGACGGGTATGAAAGTATTGCTGTGGGGAGACAAGAGGTAGGCAAGAAATGTGGGGGCGTTAGCGTGGAAAAACCAGATGGCGTGAGGACATTAGAGCGGGTGTTGGGGTCTGAGGAGGAGTGGGGGTACTGGTGTGGGGGGTTGGGGGAGCGAGGCATTGGTGAATGGGGGTCAGGGGGAAGAGCCTCACCTGGCTTGCTGTGCAGTTGGACACACAGGTGCGCCCATCGCTGCCCAGGTAGAAGTTGGTGGGACAGGCACATTTGTGGCCCCCCCCGGGGGACAGGAGGCACAGGTTGCTGCAGCCACCATTGTTGACCTTGCAGGGGTGATTGGGCACTGCCGGAGAGAAAGTGGCTAAAGCGCAGCCGACTGGGCCCAGTGTATGGGCCAGGCTCCCTGAGCCACGGGCCTCCGGCAGAGTGAAACCGGCACTCCCTGGTGCCACACTTTCTGGTCTTCTGAAGGCTGCCTAGCCCACTCTATCCTGGCAGAGGTAGGACGGATCCAAATCCTACTCGCTTAGGAGGAGGCTGAAGCCAGAGAAAGGAGAGGACTGTTCTTGAGGTCCCAGGATCAGGCCAGCCCTGAAGCCTCGTACACTGCCTCCCCTGGGCCCGCCCTCAGCTACGGCCTGCCTGCCTTTGGGGTCCCACCTCGGTGGTCCACACCCTCAGGGACTTGCTGCTACGAGACTCCGCGGCTGGCCTCGGGCTGGGCTGTAACTCCTGAAAGCCAGATCTTGGCCTGTCTACAGGCCCCCTAATCTCCCAGTGTCTGGCAAGCACGTCTCAGGCAATGCTGGAGAAGGGGCGGGCTGCAACCAGTCCTGCTGGGCCCCATCCTCCCACAGGGGCCCCTGGTACCAGGCTCACCCTTCATCTGCTCCCCCCCACTCGGCTACTCACCATCTGGCTGGCGCAAGGCGTGGAAGACATGCAGGTCCATGGGCCGGTGCAGGGTGCTGATGAGGAGTGTCTTGTTGGTGCCCGTGGTCTTGTGGGCTCGGTTGATGGACTTGGTCTCCCAGTCGGTCCAGTAGACATAGTCCTCAAACAGGGTCAGTGCGAAGATGTGTGGGATGTCCTGGCTCAGCACTGCAGACCGGGGAGGGAATAGGCCCGGCAGCCGGTCAGCACCTTCCCTACTGGACGCCCTTAATCCCACAACAACCCCTTGAGGTGGGCGCTTGCCCTGCTTCCGGATGGTTAAATGGCTTCCCAAGGTCGTGCAGTTAATAAGCGGCAGACTTGGAACTCGAACTTGGGCCTCTGACAACAGGTTCCTACTCCGTAATATTTTATGATTCCCTGTGCCAAAGTACCCCACCCCCAGGCCTCACCCTCACCTTTCTCAGAGCCCCCCAAACTGTGCATAAGAAGGGACTTCTCTTTCTCCTTCCCGAGGTTGCAGATGGTGGCCTCATGCCTGGGCTTGTCCAGGGCCATAAGCTGAGATGCTCTGGACCCCCCTACCCCTGGTGGGTGGTGTCCTCAGACCATGCCCTCTGGCTTTTAATCCTGTGCTCTTGCCCCAGTGGCCTGATCCTCCGGAGCCTCAGACCCCCAGCCCCCAGGTCTGCTGTGCGCAGGCAGCCTCACTGACCGACATGGCGATTAGAGCCATCCAGGCTGGCAAACTCAATGTAGTCCTCGCGGGCATCAGCCCAGTAGATGCGCTCGGTGACGTAGTCCAGTGTCAGGCCGTTGGGCCATGTGATCTTGGTGTCCACGATGACACTGCGGCCAGACCCATCCATGCCTATCCGGCCGATCAGTGAGTGGTCACCCCAGTCTGTCCAGTACAGGTACCTGGCAGGTGGGCAGGCAGTGAGCCCTAAGAGATCCTGTGACTGGGCCCACCGGGAGCCCGCAGGGAGGCTGGGCCTGGATGCCTGAGCACACTGCTGGCTTTCAGGGGCTCCCCCAACCCTCTTCACTCGCGTACCCGTTCTGGACATCCACCACCAGAGCCCTGGGCTCACGGAGGCCAGAGCTGACCAGCACTGTCCGGTAGGCCCCGTTGAGCTTGGACACCTCGATGGTGTCCCGGCCTTTGTCACACCAGTACAGGTTGCCGCCCACCCAGTCCACAGCCAGGCCGTCCGGGTTGCTGAGGCCTGTCCGATGCAGCACCTGTGGGCAGGGGCAGGGAAGGAAGAGCTCTGGGTGACCTGGGGCGGGACCCTCAGTCTTCCCCCAGGTGTCAAGTGAAGCGGAGCTCCGTCCTCCAGCTTGGCAGGGAGGACAACGGATGGAGAAGGCCCAGCGCTGGGCCTGGTGTTGGCGGAGGCTCTAGGACAGGGGTCTCCAGGTGAGAGAGACCGCACCCCAAGCCCCATAGTACCTGGGGTGTGCATTTAAGAGAGGCCAGCCCTAAGGGGGAAGCTACCGATGACTAGGAAAAGAGCAGGAGGAATCTCCCAGACCTCACTCTCTGAGCTTGGAGGGGAGGGAGAAGCCAGGACAAGCAGAGTTGTGCAGTGACCCGGGCATCACCTGCACGTTACTCCCGTTAAGGTGCATTCTTCGGATCATGCTGCCCTGGGTCGTCACGTCCGTCCAGTAAATCATCTGCTCTCGGTAGTCAAAGTCCAAGGCGACGGCGTTGTTCAGGCCCTGGATATGGGGGGCGGGGGAGAAGGAGGACCACAGGATCAGGACACGGGTGGCTGGAGAAGTCAGTAGGGGTGACGAACACGGGCCCAAGTGGGGAGGATGAGGGGGCTGTACAGGGCAGGGTACGTAGCTCTGGGCCTGGGGAGACAGGTGGGGTGAGGAGGGCCAGGCCCGGCACCTGCTTAAGCAGCGTGTAGTTGGAGCCATCCAGGTTGAGCTTGCGTAGGTAGTACCGGTTGGCAAAGATCAGGAATGGCTCCTCATCTGGAGGGAGAGCGTCCTGGCTCAGCCTGGCTCAGCTGTGGCACGTGCCAGCACCCCCGGCCCCCAGCTGTGCGAGCCCTCGGATGCCCTCCAGGTGCCCGTCTCACCAGTCACGGCTTTGCAGCTGTGGGGGTCGCCACCGCGGGGGGCGTAGCCCTCCACGCACAGACACTTGTAGCTGCCGTGTGTGTTGATGCAGCGCTGACTGCAGGGGAACGTGGAGCTGCACTCATCCACGTCAGCACACGTCCGGCCGTCGTCCTTCAGGCGGAAGCCGGGGCGGCAGCGACACTGCGGGCACAGGGAGCCTTGGGCTGGGCATGGGCAGGGGTCTGGGCCTCCCCTCCCCCACCCCGCCCCTGGAGACTGGGGCTCCGGCTCCCTCCACCCCGGGGCGGCTGGCTCTGCTGGGGAAACCGAGGCTGGCAGGGTGGGCAGGCAGCAAGCACGGACTGAGCTGCCCCATGCCAGCAGTCTGGCTCTCACACGGCGGTGACCCATGACCACCCTGCTTCTATCCCCAGAGGATGACGCTTAGGCCTCATCTTATGTGGCCCGTGAGCACTATCTGACGGAGCTGATCATGCTCCTCCTCCGAGGCTCTCTTCACTCGGCTGCTTTCCCACCCCAGCCGCTGCCCCTTCTCAGGCTCCTCTGCCGGCCGCCCTCACAAACCACCCCCCACCGGCCTTGGTGTGGCTGAGCACAGGGCTCAGGCCTTGGGCCTCCCCTCTTTTCCATCTACACTCACTCCCTTGGGGAACTTCTCCGGGCTCACGGATTTAAATGCTGTCTCTACGGTGAAAACTCCCAGATTCGGTGCTCCCGTCGGGCCTCGCCCTTGAGCTGGGTACCCCTACCTCTGGCGCCCCCCTGACATCTGCACATCCCTCCTTCTCCCGCAGCCCTTGCTGGCTCTACCGTCCAAAGAGAGGGAGAACCCCAAGCACAGGCTTCGCTTCTGTTCCCCACTGGGGCCTCGGCGCCTAGAACACTGCCCAGCAGCCTAGGTGCCCAATGCGCCCTCGGTGAACGAACGAACGAATGAGCCAGCAAATGAATGAATAGGGGGTGGGGAACGGAGCTCCTGCCGGCCTTGGGGGTGTGGGAGCTCCCACTCCGGGGTGGGGCACACCTTGAAGCCAATCTTGAGGTCCTCGCAGTCCTGGCTACAGCCACTGAGCTTGCGGCTGAGACACTCGTTGACGTGGCAGCCGCGCTCGTCCGAGCCGTCCCCGCAGTCGTCCTGCCCGTTGCAGAGCAGAGCCTCGGCCACACAGCGCCCGCTGCTGCACAGGAACTGCGAGGAGGCGTTGCACTTGTGCTCTGGGGGGGGAGGGGCAGGTCAGCGGGGGGAGGGGGGCTGCCGGGATTGGGGGGGCGAAGCTGGGGAGGGGCCAGGCTTTGGGCCCACCTGAGCTGCTGCAGTGCGGGTTCTTGGGGGCCTCGTCACTCTGGTCGTGGCAGTCGTTTTCGCCGTCGCACGCCCACTGGCGGGAGCTCAGACAGCGCCCGTTGGCGCAGCGGAACTCGTTGGGACCACAGGTCGGGTACTCTGGGGGCGGAGGGGTGGGGTGAGGGGGTGAGGCTGGAGGCTCTGGCGGGGGCCCAGGTGCAGGGAGGGCAGGGCACGCCCCTGCTGCCACCGCCACTCAGCCCCCCCACGCCCCGCAGGCCGGCCCGCCCGCCGGAGGCCCAGCACCCTCACCACACTCGGGGGACTCGTCAGAGCCGTCTGCGCAGTCCCGGTCGTGGTCGCACACGAAGTGCTTGGGGATGCACTGGCGATTCTGGCACATGAACTCGCGGTCGTCGCAGGTGCTGTTGTACACTGCGGATGGAGACGGGCGGACGTGGCCCCTCAGCCCCCACCCGACCAGCCGCTGCCTGTCCCTGGGACCTTCGTGGGGTCCGAGTGCACAGACAGCCATCTGGGTTGTAGACAGGGCTCTGCCACTAACCACCTGAGCGACCCCGGCTGAAGCACCGCCTCTCCTTGGCCTCAGTTTCCCCTTCTGTAGAGTGAGACTGTGGCCACCTGCCACCCACCCCACTCCTCACACCACCCCCCTCCGCCACTCACAGCAGCCAGCTGTGATGCTCTCATCAGCACCGTCCGCACAGTCCTTGTCACCGTCACAGAGCCAGCGCTCGGGGACACACACGTGGGTGCCGGGGCAGGAGAAGGAGGAGGGGCCGCATGTCTTGCCTTCTGTTGGGGGGACAGGGAGCCGCCAAGAGATTCAGGAGCAGGCACAGCGGGCTGGGCAGTCGGTGTGACATCCCCACGCTCATGCCGCCCCTCCTGTAGGAGGGTGTGTGGGTGTGTGGGTGGGATGGGGGCGTCTGTCCCTCAGGAGCCCCTCCCTGAGCTGACCACAGCCACCCCTCACCGCAGTGAGCCGCCTCGTCCGAGCCGTCCCCGCAGTCGTCACTGCCGTCACACAACCACTGCTTGGAGATGCAGCGATGGTTCTGGCACTCAAACTGGGCCTCCGAGCAGAACTTGTCTGGGGCGGTTGGAAACCAAAGTGAGATGGGGGAGGGGATGGCAGGGCACTCTGTTGGGCAGGCAGGTGGAGCACGGACAGGAGAGACCCAAGGCCTCCCTTTGTGGGGGCTCAGCATGAGCTAGACAGGGGGGCCCTGGGTGCCCTTCTCCCAAGGGGACACTTCCTGGGAGGGAACTGAAAGGTGGGGCATGGACTGGGACTCCGTGGCCATGGTGGGTGGGCGCTGCGGTGGGGCACTCACTGCAGTGGGTCTCATCCTCGCCGTGTTCACAGTCGTCCTCCTTGTCACACGTCCAGCTCATGGGGATGCAGCGCCCGCTGGGGCAGGCGAAGTAATTCAGGGGGCATCTGGGGCGCTTCACTCCTGGGGGGAGAGGGAGGCGTGAGGGCACTGGTGCCCTGGAGGGCCCGCCGACCGCCGCACACCCGGCCCGAGGCGGGACCTGGGCAGTCGCGCTCGTCGCTGTAGTCCCCGCAGTCGTTGGCACCGTCACACACCCAGCTAGGGGCGTAGCAGAGGGAGGTCCGCTCACAGGGCTGGAAGCGCACACCTTTCACGCCCAGGCGGAAGTAGCTGCTGCAGTCGGTGGCGCCTGGTGGGGGCAGGGATGCAGGTGACACCCGGTTCCCTCCACACTCCCTCCCCCGGAGCTGCCCTTGGTGTTTTAGAAACTGGCCTGGTACCCTTCAGGGGAGGAGATGCTGACCGCCCCTTCTACTCACGCCACCCCGGAGCCCAGGCCTGGAGTCAGGGGGCAGGAGCACACAGGCTGTGAGGGGACCGAGGCCGCCAAGCGAGCAGGCCAGGCAGGAGGCGAGGGAGCAGGACTAGGAGGTGCAGGGGACTGGTGTCACTCACTGCAGTTCATCTCGTCAGAGGCGTCCTCGCAGTCCACAAACTGGTTGCAGCGGCTGGAGTTCCCAATGCAGGTGCCGTCCCGGCAGCGGAACTCGCCCACGCCGCAGGCTGTCTCTAGAACAGCACCCACCCCAAGACCATCAGGCCAGAGCCCCCCGCCCCGCCATGGGGACCAGGAGACCCCAGGCACCCCCCAGAGCGCGCTGAAGCAGACCCTGTGGGGCCTGGGGAGGTGGGGGGGACGGAAGCGGGGTCCCACTCACTGTTGCAGGGAATCTCGTCGGAGCCGTCCCCGCAGTCGTCCGCCCCGTTGCACCAGAGCATGTTGGACACACAGCGCCCGTTGTTGCATTGGCGGAAGGTCTTCTTGCAGCGGCGTGAGTCTGCGGAGGGGAGCAGGGGAGTGGGCCACCAGTCAGCAGCAGCTCCGGGGAGGCGCTGCCTCCGATGGGACCTCGCTCGTCTGTTCCCTTGACAACCTGCTCAGCCCTGCTCTGGGTCTGGCCCAGGGTTAGCGGTGCTTCTGCCCTTCACGACCTCCCCAGACTCCTCAGCCACGGAGTGGGTCATGGAGCTTTTGCTCCCCTCACTCCCACGCTGGGCCCTGCTGGAGGCAGAGGCCGGGGAGCCTGGAGGCCAGGGGGAAGGGAGGAAGGCGGGGCGCTGAGGCTGCAGGGGGCGCCTTACTACAGTAGGATGGCTTCTCGTCAGACTTGTCCTTGCAGTGGGAGACACCATCACAAGTCAGGCTGAAGTTGATGCATTCGCCGTTGGCACAGTCGAACTCATCTTGTGCCCGGCAGGAGGAGTTCACGGCTGGAGGGGGCGTGGAGGGAGCCTCATGAGCCTGGGCCCTGGGGCCTCGAATGCTTCTCCCCCTCTACCCCCCGGAACTCAGGTCATCCTCAGTTCCTCCTTGGTAAAACTATTCGGGGGGCCGGGCTGTTGGAGTCTGGGAGGTGATGGTCCCCAGTGTGTGCCCAGGGTCCCCCACCAGTGTCCCCCGTCTCTCACCGCGGCAGGTGAGGTCCTCTTGGAGGATGCGGCCCCCTCGGCAAGAGCAGTTGACATGGCCTTGGTGAGTGAGCAGACACAGGTCCTGGCAGCCCCCATTGTTGACGCGGCAAGGGGAGAGCTCGCCTGGAACAGGGACGGACGACAATGGGCTAGGAGTGTCCCTGGCTGTGCACACACAGGATGCCCACACCCACTCACACAGCTTCACGGAGCTTCCTAGCCCCAGCCCTGGCACAGCGGCACCCGGCTGGGGGAGCAGAAAAGGTGCTATGGGAGGGCCAGGGGGAGTGTTTGGGGTGGGCCTGGGGTGGGGGGGTGCTCTTAGGGGATGATGTGGGCTTCGTTGTGTGCTTGGGGAGATTCAAGTCTAAGGAGCATCGTGGTGGGGCCCAGGAGTATGTGTGAGAGGCCTGGGAAAGCTACGGATCTGGGTGGGGGCCATGGGGCAAGGCAGATCCAGGGTGGGAGTGTCTCTGTGCACACGCATGTACACGCACACGTGCACGCAGAGCACGGGGTAGGCAGAGCCTGGGATGTGTGTGATCAGCTCTGGGGGCACATGTGGTTCTGGGTGGGAGAAGGACTAGGGCATGTGCTGGGGTGTCCAAGGATTCAGGTGAGACCAGTGGTGGGTAGTGTGAATGTGCGTACGTGTGTGTGTGTGCGTGCTCAAAGATGTCTTGAGGGAGCTGGAGTAGAGGAGCGTTAGGCATTTTGGAGTTTCTTGGGGGTGAAGGTGTGTACAAGTGTATGTCTACACATGGAGGCTCTGGGAGAACGAGACCAGGGTGTAGTGCGTGCGTCGCGCGTGTGTGCGTGCGTGCGTGTGTGTGCGTGTGTGTGCATGCGTGTGTGTGTGTACGTGCTGGCACCATGGGCAGGAGAGCAAGGCTGGTGGCAGTGGCCCCACTCACAGCTGTTGGTGTCATTGGCCACGGCGATGATGCCCATGGGCTGCTGGGGGATGTCCACGCGCAGCAGCTTCATGTCACTGCCCACGTACTTGTTGGCCCGCTGCACGGCTCGCCGCACCCAGTCGGTCCAGAAGATGTGCTCCCCGTACACAGCCAGCCCGAAGGGGTGGACTGGCTCCGACTTCAGGATCACCTGTGGCAACAGCACGGGACCCATCACGGGCGGGCTCGGGCCTCTCCCCAAGTCCACCCCACTGCAGCTGGCCCCAGGGGCGAGGGTCCCCGGACACGGTCTGGAGGGGGAAGGACCCACAGACGCATCTTGCCGTTTCCACACTGAACCGACGAGGAAGCCGAGCCTGCACAGGATGAGGGCCGCACGCGGCCACACAGCTAAGTGGCAATGTTTGTGCCTCATTCTCCTCCAGAATCATCCCACCAGGGCGCCTCCCTTTCTGCCTGGGCCATCTCCTTCTTGGCTGACCAGCCGTCCCCTGACCCCAGCCCACCTCGAGCCCCCCGCTCCGTCGGCGACCCCAGACTCACATAGCGGTGAGAGCCGTCATACTCGCACCGCTCGATCTTGTCCAGGGTGGCGTCGGAGAAGTAGAGCTTCTCAGCACGGTGGTCGATGGCCAGGCCGTTGGGGGTGCGGATGTCCTTCTCGATGAGAGTCAGGACATTGGCTCCCGACAGGGCTGCCCGCATGATGCTGGGGTGCTGCTCGTTCCAGTTGGTCCAGAACATCAGGCTGGGGGAAGGGAGAGCCACGGGGATCAGGAGTCAAAGCCGGGGAGTCTGTCGTGGAGGGCCCGGGCGAGGGCCAGGAATCGACCAGAACCCAAGGGTCAGCCAGGGTGTGACCCAGATGCCAGCACCCCAGGCAGCCTCACAGCCACCAAGGCCAACACAGCCCCGGCGCCCAGAGCGGGCAGCTGCCACAGGGTCTCTGTGTGGGTACGCGTGTACACGTATTTCTCAGCGTCTGGGAAACGACTATCTGCTTTTACTGAGAGACAGTGTAGCCGAGTAAGGCAGGCTCTGGGTTCCGATCAGAGCCCTGCCACTTACCAGTGAGGAACCTCAGGAAGTGACTTAACTTCTCTGTGCCTCAGTTTCCTTCTCTATGAGGCGGGGATAATACTACTACCTGCCTCGTAGAACGGTTGAAGGATTAAGAGTTAATGTTCACCTAATGATGTCACAGGACTATTTCCCAGTCTTTTATTCTTTTTTCGCCCGGCATCCAGGACACCCTTGTGAGTGTCTCGTGTCTGTCAGTGCCAGGGACACACAGATCCTACCCTCAAGAAGTTCTCGAAAAGCACCCTCTCCATAATTTCAGGCTTTTGCCTATTTGGAGTCTGAGCCGCAGCTTGGGGGCGGTTCTGGATGGCTCCTGGAATCAGGATGGGAGTTTGGATGGTGGCATGATGCCATCGAGGATGGCCTCCACAGGAGAAAATGGGCGTCCCAGGCGCAGCTGCTAGAGTCAGCCTCCTGGTGTTGTTGGTCCCCAACCAGGGACTTCCATACCCTCAGGTAGGACCCAGTTGACTCGGTGGTAGGAAGTGGCTTTCCTTTTACCGTGACAAACTGTTGCGTGTGGAAGAAGGACATGTCCCACAGCTGAGGGTTCCAGGCTTGGTAAAACCACGCCCCAGGGAAGGGGCTGGGGTGGGGGTGGGGGAGGCCCGGGAGGAGGGGCTTTCCTGAGGGCCAGCTGTAGGGTAGGCTCAGCAGGAGGTCCCTGTCTCCTTCATCTGGGTGCACACTGCCCGCCCCCCCAGCACTCGCTCCTTCTGGCCAAGAGAGGGCCTCTCCCAGAGAGTTCAGCTCTTTCTCCTGCACCCTGCCCTGGCTTCAGTTCACCCGGGTCATCCTCCAGACCCCAGCTCAGGTGCTGCCGCCTTGAGGACGCGTTCCTTGATATCCAGCTGGGTCACGTCCTGTTACACACTCATAAAGCTCCCTGAAGCCTCATGATTAACATCAAATAGGCCTGAGGTAGAGCCAAGGTCCATCTCATCCTCCCCTGGCTCCTCGGCACATTGTTGGTTCTCAAAAGCCATTTGCTGAGTGAATGATGGAATCCCCTGGGCTCAGAGCAAAGGAACCTGGTGGGCAGCCATGAGGGAGCTTCTAGAAGCCACAGTGCTCCATCACCTCTGGATTGGGGGTGGGAGGCAGGCAGGGGTACCCAGCAGCACCACCCCTTCATGGAGGCTCCAGGCCCATAAGCGACAGGCCCTGGGGCCAGCCCAAGACAGGTAAAGTCACCCAGGGTCCCAGAGGGAAGAGAGGATCTTTGTCTTGAGCCATGTATGTGCAGGCCAGGGTGAGGCAGACCAGGGAGAGGGCCCTTGTGCTGGTCTGCAGGGCCAGGCAGGCCGGGCTGAGGCTGGACTTGAGTGACATCAGGGTAAGGAATCTAGGTTTGGTACACTCCCCGTTTCTAAGTAGCTGTTTTGGGGTTTTGTTTGTCCCTTAGTTTCCTAGCAAAGCTTTGGGAAAATATTCCAAGGGTTGCTGAGTTCTGGGGAAAACAGTTTTGCTTTCACGTGGGCCAGGATTTCTAAGGTGAGGGGGTGGTTCACCAGAGGCCCACACATTGGAAATGGAGCGGGGGGCTGGCCCTGCAGGAGAGCAGAGCAGGTGGAGACCCGGGGGTATTTCCTCCCAAGTCCTCCTGACTCGTGCTCTGGACTCCCTTGCATCCTGATCCCAGCCTCCTGGGCCATCCGCATGCTTGCTCCTGCCCATGGGGACTCCCTGACCGGGCATGGGTAGGCCCCTCACAGTCCTTCCCTGCCTAGAGCACTCCCCCTCCTCCAGCAGTTGCTCAAAGCATTGCCCTATGTCTGGGCTGCCCCTCCCTGGCCTCCCCACGTCTAGGCCCAGGGCCACAGCATGGCCTCCGGGATGCTTCTTGGTCATCACATACCGTCCTATACCAGGCTCTGCGCTTCCCAGCACTATGGTTTCTCTCCCCAGCTAGGTGGTTTAAATGGGCCCAGATGAAGGCTTCCATACAGCAGGTGTTCAGTGAACAACCTTTGCCTGAAGCTTCACGTGCCAGAAACACAGAGGACCCACTATGTGCCTTGACCATGGCTCTCCAATGAATGAATCAATTCATCACTGAGCCAGAATTGTCCTTCAGAGTCCCCCTGATCCTCCCCTTGGTTCAGGCACCGGAAATATTATTGTCATATTACAGATGAGGAAACTGAAGCTCAGACAGTTCATATAGCTGGTCCAAGGTCACAAAGCAAGGAGGTAGCTGATCTCGGGGGACAGTCAGCCTCTCCTGCCGCTACACCCCTACCCGGGGCTGCCTGGGGCAGCTTCTGCCACCCTGTGGCCTAGCCCTCCCCGCTCCCCACTCCCTGCACCCAGCAGCTCACTTCTGGCACTCATCCAGCACAAAGGCCCGTGGGTGGTCGTCTCCTGACATGGTAATGACCGTCTCACGCTCGAAGGCCCCTGGGCGGGTCTGGTCGACTGTGTGGCGGGTGATGGTGGATGTTGTGTAGCTTGTCCAGTAGAGGGTATCCCAGCCACGGTGATAGGCCAGGCCTTCCACGGAGCCCACATCTGCAACGGGAGAGGAGCAGTCGTGGGTCGGGATGGGGCCAGGGAGCAGAGCCGAAGGGGGATGACGGCCTGGAGCACCCACTCCTCTGGCATATTGGGGCTGTATGGGGATGTGTGGGAGCTGGGGGGCACGTGGAAGCACAGCCCTGGGCACCCCCAAGCCCCCCCATCCTTCCCTATTTTCTACGCAAATGATCCATGGTGCATCTCCCTGACCCCTCTTCCTGCGTCTCCCCACAGCTGGGTAGAAATGGCTTTATGGATTTTGGTAAATCACACCCGACTTGGGCTGTACTGGGAGCTTCCAACTGAACAAGACCTGAACCGGATTGTTCGTAAACATCCTAAACTCTGGTTAAAGAATTAAGTGCACGATGACTAGTGGAACCATAGCCCAAGAGAAAAAGCCTTGGGTTTTCGTGGCTTCTAGCTGTATGACGCTGCGCTTGCCAGAAGGCTGCAGCATTAGAAGTACTGTAGCTTAAACAATGGCCCGAAGGGAGGGGACAGTTCTTGCCAGTCTCTCTTGATCAAGCTACGGTTGCAGAGTATCTAGTTGAGCTTTGGACACATTTTTAGACAGGCGCGTTCTGCGTGGAGTGGGACATGTCCAGAGGAGGTTCAACGGACAGATGTATACCATCGCTGGATACCAGCATCTAGTTCCGTGACCGGCAGGGCTTTGTGGACAGGATGAATGAAGGAATGAGCAAAGGAGTGAGTCAAAGGATCAGGGGTTATCCAGCCAGAAGAGAAAACCGTAGCGGAACAAAAGAGCGCTTTGCAAAGAGCCGAACAGCTGTTCTAGGATGCTATCTCTAGCTCTCAGTACTCTCTGTGGAGCATGCACACATGTCCTGTGCTGAGCTAAGCTGTCACACCTGCCCTTCAGGTGACCCTCTCTCTCTATGCACATGAGACATCTGAGGCTTGGACAGCAGAGGAAACTGGCCCAAGTGCCTGAAATCCTGTGTCTGGGGCTGAACCCAGACTCTCTGCAGCCTGTGCCGTGAGTCCCGGCCACACAGAGCAGAGCTCTGGCTTATTCTGTGCCACCTGGGGGCAAACTGGGGCCAGAGGGGGAAGGAAGAGGGGAGGCGACTCTGACTCCAAATGAGGAGAAACTTTCAAGTAACTATAATGGGTGCAGTGTGGTTAGCTGGCGAATTGTCAGCGATGCAGTCACAGCTGGGATTCAGATCTGGGGCACGGTGGGCAGGCCGAGGGCTTTTCTCCCCTCAGGCGGTGCCGGTCCTCCCCACAGCCCTCGACCCTCCCCTTCCCGGGGAGGATCGGGGTCTGGGCTCACTCTCCACAATGGTGGTCCTCTCCGAGCCATCGTCGTTGATCTGCTGGATGTTCCCGAAGTGGATGTCGCTGAAGAAGATGCGGTTGGGGGTGCCCGGGGAGGTGCCTGCTCGGTAGTCAAAGGCCAGAGCGATGACATTCTTCATGTGCTCAGGATCCTCGAAGGGCTGCACGGGCGCGTTGAGGTTGCGCTCGTCAGACAGGTGGATGCTCTTGAGGATGGTGCGCTCTGAGTAGAGCAGGTAGCCGGCGTACTCGCGGCACGACGCCCCGTCTTCAGCCAGCATCCCGTGGGCGCAGGCACAGGCCCGCTGCTCCCCGCCCCGGTACAGACACAGCTGCTGGCACCCGCCATTGGCCACCGCGCACACGTTCGTGCCTGGCGGGAGGGCGCGGGGAAGGAGATGGTCACAGAGCGTAGCTCGCTGGTGCCTCCGACCTCTCGGCCGGGGGAGGCTCTGGCTGCGGCACCCCAGGGCCTCAGCACAGGCAACCCTCCCGGCCCCTGCGCTCGGCTCCCGGACCGGTCCTAGAGCTCCTCAGCCTCTCTTCCCCACTCTCGGCTCTCTGGGGCTGCTGCCAAGTGCCCCTGTGGGTCCTGCATCTCTCCCAGGCCCTCTCACTCTGGGGGATCACTCCCAGGCCAGGGGGCCCCCCGTGTGCCTCTCCTGCCTGGCCCAGGGCCCCAGCCTCACCTTTCTGGCGGTCCCGGTTGAAGACTTTGATGTCTTTGAGCTGGACACCGATGCCTGTTCTCAGGGGCACAGACTCTGTAGCATTGTCCTTACTCCCACGTTTGATGGAGCCATTGGCATGAGTCCTGGGGGGAAGGGAAGGGCTAGGCTGTGAGCAGGGCCTTGACGGAGGCCAGGAGGGCGGGAATGGATGGTGGAGGAGAAGGCCAGGGCAGAAGCCCTCACCTGTCACTCCAGTAGATGAAATCCTCAAACACAGACACGGAGAACATGTCCATGTTGTTGCTGGACAGAACCACCTCACGGTTCTCGCCCGTCTCCAGGTCGATCCGCTCAATCTTGTCTGTCCGGGCGTCACACCAGTACAGCTTCCCATCCTATAGGCCAGAGGCACCCACCTCACCTCCAATGCCCAGTGCTCCCCGCCAGCCCCAGTGTCCTGGGCCACAGGGCGTGTCCCACTCACTCCTGCCTCCCGTGTCTTTCTCTTTCTTCCTCCATATCCTCCCTGCCCTCTGACCTGACGATCTGACAACCTCTAGGCATGCCTTCAGTCCTCGCTTCTGAGTGACGGCCCCTACCCTCTCTGGGGTGGCAGGAGTCCCACTCTGGGTCGGGAGCTGGGCCAGAAGACCCCATGACTACCTTGGGTCCGTATCTCCCCACGGAATAGGGCCTCATCACCGGGAGAGTCAACGGGGAGCAGAGCATAGGGTAAGGGGAGCCTCCCCCCCAGAGCATGGGGTCCGGATATCCCGTGGGCTCCAGGGCCAAGCCTGCACCCAAACCTGGTAGTCCACCGAGATGCCATTGGGCCAGCTGATGCTGACATTAACCAGCACGACTCGCTCAGTACCATCTAGCCGAGACCGCTCAATACGTGGATACTGGCCCCACTCAGTCCAGAACAGATACCTGTGGGGCGGAGGAGGTAGAAGTTGGGGGTCAGTCCCCAGACCATGGAGGAGAGAGGGTCTCGTCAGTGCGGGCTGTGCAGAGTGACCAGGCCAGACCCGAGCCAGGGTTGGGAAGTGGGCAGCCTGTCCAGCTTCTCACCCCTTCTCTGGGTGGACAGTGATGGCCCGGGGCTTATCCAGACCCTGGGAGATGACCACGTAGCGGAAAGAGCCATTGAGCCGGGCGACCTCGATGACATCAAAGCCCTGGTCGGTCCAGTAGATGTTGCCTAAGGAGGGAGTGGGTGGAGATTAGGGGGATTGGGTGGGAATGCATGTACCTGGTCCCTTTCCAGCCTCTAGATCCCTGCTGCTCCCCCATCTATTCTGGCTTACTTCTTCTCCTCAGACTGCTCCTGAGATCCCACATGCCCCCCACCAGGCCTCCACCTCACCCGGAGGCCCCCAGCCCACCCAGGACCCTCTCATGGCTCACCTGCAATCCAGTCCACGGCGATGCCCTCCACGCGGCCAATGCCATTGGTCACCACATCCTCGCGCCATGTCTGGTCTCGCTTAGCCCGGCTAATAGTGCTTAGGCCCATGTCCACCCAGTAAATGGTGTCATTTTCTGGAGGTAGAGGAGCCAACATGAGGATGTCCCACAAGGTGGGGGAAAAGTGGGGGGGGTTCAGAATCAAATGGTGTCAAAATGGAGGTGAGTGCTGGGGAGGGGAGGGGGCTTGGGAGGGAAGACAGAGCCTGAGGGGGAGGGTAGCTGTGTTGTCTCCCCCTCCAGCTGTGGTCAGGCAGCCTCTCACTGGGCTCCCACACCACCCCCAAGGTAATGTTCCACTCCCTCCTGCCACCAAATCACTCACCAGCATGGAAATCAATGCCGACAGCCAGGGACGTCCCTGACACTGGGACCAGGGCATCTGACTTGTCATTGGGATCCAAGGGGATTCCCCGGATTCCCTCATGCACAGAGTACAGGAGAAAGGAACCCACACCTGAAACACAAGGACACTCAGGCATGGGCCTCACTGACACCCGTTTAAGCTTGGGGTCTGTCACTCTCAAACCTATTGTTCTCTGCTTCTTTTTGGTATCTTCTCCCAGCCATCACTCCTCCCCGCTCCACACACAGATACACACACCTTAGCCTGAGGCCTGCAGCTTGGGCTGGGAGGTCACCTGGCTGATAGGGTGTGGGGGGTGGGAAAGGAGAGCAGCTCTCGGGAAGAACCTGCAAGACTGCTAGCCCCCACTAGAGGGCAGAAGAGACCTGGATTTCTCTCTCCCGAAGGGGGCCCTTTAGTCCTGCTTCACTCAATGCAACTGCACCCTCAAAAGCTGTTAGGGAGAACCTGGGGAGGTTCAGACAAGACAATGGAACTAGATGACTCCTCAGTGAAGACTTCCATCTTGGGTTGCTCTTCGTCCTCCCCAGCTGGGCCTGCGCCATCCATACCCTCTCTCAAACACCTAAAACTCAACATCCCTGATTCCTCACTCCTGAGCCAGTCTCATTCGGTTTTCCCATTTCTTCTTCTTCTTTTTTTTTAAGATTTTAAAAAATTATTTACTCATTTGAGAGAGAGAGAGAGACAGAGAGCGAGAGAGAGCATGAGTCAGGGGGAGGGGCAGAGGGAGAGGGAGAAGCAGACTCCCTGATGAACAGGGAGCCTGATTCGGGACTCGATCCCAGGACCCCAGGACTATGATCTGAGCCGAAGGCAGACGCTTAACCGACTGAGCCACCCAGGTGCCCCTCTCTTCCCATTTCTTACGAGGCGCCACTATCAACATGAGCCAGAATCCTCCACTGCCTTTATCCCTTGATACAGTGTGCCCCAGATGAATCCCCCAGTAGGCTCTGGTTTCTCAGCCTCCGTGAAAAAGTCAAGGGAGTTTGGAGCAACCCCAAACATTAGAGTTTTCTTTTGAGAAAATATCTCAGTGCAGATCTGCATATTCAAGACTCTGAGAAGTTCTGCAGCAAAAACACTTAAACTTTGTTCAACCCAGTGCTTCTTTCTGTAACATCTACCCACATCAAAGAGGGAGGTTCCCAGAGCGCACTTTGGGAAGTGCTGTCCTGGGGCAAATTCATAAATCAATCAGCAAGTTCTTGTGAAATGTCTGAGTCTCACCCCTTCTCTTCAACCCAGCTGCTAAGCCCCATCTCCTCACACTGGGCTCGCGCTAATAGCCTCCTAACTGGTCTAACTGCCTCGGTTTCTCCCTCCCCCACCCAGCCGGCTCTCTGCCGCCAGGTTAATCTGCCCCAAACACCACTTTCCAGGCACTCCTTGCTGAGAACCCACAGGAGGCCCGCCCTACCCCACAGCCCATCACCTAGGATTCCCCACCCCCACTCTGCCCACCCCTCGGGCTTGGTGCCGCGGGGGTGGGGGCACGCTGCACACATCCTCCTCCTCTTGCTCTGGACCCTGTGCCTCACTTGTCCTCTCTCCTTTGATCCACGCACTCAAATCCTACTTGTCCTACAGAACCCAGCTCACAGCACACCTCTTCCATGAAGCCGGCCCTGGCGCTGCCTGCCGACATCTCTGTCTCCAAAACCCTCCTGCAGGCACTGGAGAGCCGCCTCACAGTCCAGTTTCCCCTCCGGGTTAGCCCCCTCTCTGGTTAAGACTGCGGCACAGGGACAGGGACTTCTGCCCTCTGGCTTCCCCGGCAGCACCCGACACGGTGGGGGCTTACTAAGCGCCTAACCCAGGAGGCACTTAATAATATGTGATAAATCCAGCCCTGTCCCCAGGGTGAGAGGCCACAGGTGGGGCGGGGAGGGTAGGAGGGGCAGGGCTGGGGGCCCGGGCGGTGCCGGGCACTGACCCTCGCACGCTTGCTGGCCGCTCCGGAGGCTGTAGCCGGCGGTGCACATGCAGGAGCGGGTCGACTCGGATGTAGGCAGGCAGAGCTGGGAGCAGTCACCGTTGTTGACACTGCAGGGGTTGGTGCCCTCGTGGTCTGGGGAGGTGGGAGGCACAGAGAAAGAAAGGATTGAGGTGGCCCTCCTCGGGACCTGTGTCAGGCTTGCGCTGCCTGGGGACAGGACGGTCACTGCCTTCACCCTGGATCTTGTGGGGGTCACCACCCAACCCCCACCCAGGTCTTTTGTCCCGGCAGAGGCCCTGGCTCCTGTGACCAGGGTGGCTGTCAGCACATATGGTTACCTTTGTGAGAATGAGAAAGAGGAGCCCCTTTGGGTGCTGAGGGGAGTCTAACCGTGCTCATTCCCATTCACCTCCTTGCCCAGGGATTCCTCTCTGTATCCCAGCCCCTGCCTGTGGCCCCGGCCCCAGTCTCACCCAACTGGATGCTCTCGTCGTAGACCTTCATGTGCATCACCAGCGTGGTGCTGTTCCGCAGGACCACGGACTCCGAGCCGTCAGCCTTGTTGCACGTGCCCATCTTCTCTGACACCTGATCTGCCCACCACAGCTTGTCCCCTGGGTAGGCAGGAGGGGATGAGACCCCGGGGAGGGCCCCACCCCCAGCCCAGCCCAGCCCAGCCCAGCCCAGCCCATCCTCTCCGCCCCCGTCCCTGCCCCCACCCGGCAGCCCTCACCCATGATGGCCAGGGCAGTGGCCTTGCCCAGCTGGCTCCGCATGGCGTCGATGACCTCCAGCCCACTTCCATCCAGGTTGCAGCGGCTGATGGTGTGGTTGCCAGAGCTGATCCAATAGAGTTTGCTTTCAGGGAAGTCGATAGCCAGGCCTGAAAGAGGTGGGTGTCACTGCCAGGGAGCCTGGCCCCTGGGCTGGGGGCTGAAGGATGTGTGGGCTTGGGGAGGATGGTGAGGACACGCACTAAGCTAGGAGTTCGGGAGACAGAGGGGCAATCAAGGGACCCCGAGGATCTCCTGACTGAGGAATTAGGGAAGAGCTGTAGCGCAGGCAAGGCAAGCTCGTACCCACAGGGCCCTTCTGGCCACTGAAGAGCAGGGTACGGTTGCTGCCGTCCATGTTGGCCATGCTGATGTTGTCCCCGTCAGTCCAGTAGAGCTTCCTGGGAAGGTGCAGGAAGGTGAAGTCAGACCCCTCTGCTCCTGCCCCACACCCCACGCTCCCCAACCCTGGGCCCTGGACTGACCCACGCAGCGGGTGGACCACCAGGCCATGGGGCTGCTCCAGGCCCTGCACCACCGCATTCTTAAAGGAGCCGTCCAGCCGGGCCACATTGATCTGCTTCTTGTTAGTGTCGTAGCTTGTCCAGAACAGGTTTCGGGACACCCAGTCCACAGCCAGCCCATGGGCATTTGGCAAGTCTGGGGGGCACAACAGGGAGTTGGAGGTTGGGTGTTTGCGGGGCATAGGTCAGGAGGCTGGAGGAAGTGGGGGATTGGCCTGGTTTGGGGGGGCAATGGGGATCGGGAACCCAGGGTTGGAGCACTGGGAAGGAGGAAGATTTGGAAAAGGAATATCAGGACCAAGGGGACCAGGGATGGGAGGAAGGCCCGGGTCGGGGGGCCGCCCACACCCACTGCGAGGGTCCAGGGCGAGGGCAGAACCTGCAGAGACGACAGTCTCCACGCCCGTGCCGTTGATGAAGGCCCGTTTGATGGCCTGTGTCCTCACATCGGACCAGTAGACGCGCTGCTCGCGGGCATCATAGTCCAGCACCGTGACATTGTCGATATCAGGCACCGTGAAGGAGATGATGTAGTTGTAGTAGGGGGCATCGAGGTCCACCCCCCGGATCTCCATCTGACGTGCGTACAGCAGGAACTTCTTAAACTCTGTGGGGCATGGGGCAGGTCACTGAGGGCAGCCCCCTACCTTCATGCTTCCCACCCACCCGAATGAGCGCCCCTCCTTCTTCTGGTTCCTTCCATTTGCAGCTGGCCGTTGGCTTGGGCCTCACCTCCCTGCCTGAGTTCCTGCATCTTCTTACAGTGGCTGTCTCTGGAGCCTCTCCCAGCAGCCCCCCGCTCCCCAGACTGGGACCGTCTACCTTCGCTTACAGCCGTGAGCCTGGTACCCGACCCCTTCCCTGTCGGCTTCAGTTCACCAGTGGCTCTTGAGGGAGGGGCCTCCTACCATAGCAGGTGGTGTTGTCCCTGTGGAGCTTCATGAGGTGGGGGCAGGCGCAGGAGACGGTCCGGTTGTAGTTGATGAGACACAGGTGGGAGCAGGGGCCCCGGCCCCCATTGGCCTCACAAGGATTGGGAGCTGGGGTTGGGGGAGAGGAGAAGTGAGGGCGTCCTGTGACTTGCTGGCCCCTACCTTTCTCACCTGGGCCACCCCCTCCTCACCCGCTCTCCCCCTCCCCGTTGCAGCATCGCCCGCGGCTGGCCCATCCCCACCATCTCAGCACAGCCCCTCATGCTCTCTGGCCCCCTCTTTTCCCAAGGGCTTCTGCAGAGGCTGCCGGCCCCTCTCTGGCCCCTTACCCATGGGCTGCCGGGAGGGGTGGTACACCTGCAGATCAAAGGGCTGGGTATTGGTCCTCTGTACCACGGTGACATTGTGGCCGGTCCACTTGTTGGCCTTGGCCAGCGTGTTTGTCCGCCAGTCCGTCCAGTACACCTCCCCCCCATACAGCGTCACTGCAAACGGGTGCGATAAGAACTCGTGTCCCCGAAGCACCTCCATGTGGCCGGAGCCGTCGTAACGGGCTGAGTAAATGGCGTCTGACCTGAGAGCGTGGTCAGGGCAGAGTGAGGATGCTGGCTGGGGCCAAGCCCTGGCCCTGGCCCGCCGCCCCACCCCCCCCAACAACCCCCGAGCACACTGGAGCAGGCCTTCCTCCCAGGCCAACAATGTGGAGTGAGACCCAGAGTGGTTCGCCGTCTAGGATCCCAGCTCTCAGATCCCAATTCCCACGCCCTGAATCCCCTGGCTCACTCCTCCACAGGGCCACAGTTGGCACCTACGGGGCTTTGAGGAGGTTGGGAAAAGGCACCCGCTCTAAGCAGACCAGTTAGAAGAAGTTTCCCCTTCCCCTGGGCAGATAAAGCCCCTGAGCAGAGTGCACAGATTTGTGAGTGAGGACAAGAGGTTGAATTTCAGCCTTGCCCATGCCTGGGCCAGCCGCCCCCCCACCCCCATGCAGGGTGACAGCCCTGCTTCCACCCTCTTCTTCCCACACCTCTTCCCCCCGCCCAGCCTCACTCACCCCTCACCTCAGTCCTCCCACCGGGCCCAACCCTTGGCTGCCCCAGTTCTGACTCCAGCTGCCCAGGCCTTTTTACTACCAAGTCCTGAGACTCCCGACCCCACCCTATCCCTGGAGGGGAAGCGGGGGGCATGGAGGCCTCTGGGGACAAGGTGGGGGGCGCTGACCTGGCATCGATCCAGAGGATACGCTTCTCCAGGTAGTCCACAGTGAGCCCGTTGGGCCAGCCCCCTGAGCCTGTCTCCCGGTGGATGGTGCGGCGCCCAGCCCCACTCATGGAGGCGGCCTCGATGCGGGGCAGGCTGGCATCCCAGTCTGTCCAAAACAGGATCCTGGGGAATGGGGAGGGGGTCAGGGGGGCCAAGGTCGAGGGCCTGGAGCGGGGCTATTATAGTGGTAAAGGGCAGAGGGGGTGAATAGCATTTGAAGAGACAGGTGTCCCTGACCTGGCTGAATGAGGTTTCAGAGGGGACCATGGGGCCAGAATAGGGCTGGGCAGGGTCCTCACCCATCCCGTGGATCCAGCGCGATTGCCCTTGGGTGCTCAATGTCACCAGCCAGGAGGGTGGTCCGAAGGGTCCCATCTAGCTTGGCCACCTCAATCTGGTCCAGGTTACTCTCCACCCAGTAGATGTTACCTGCAATCCAGTCTACAGCCAGACCCTCGGGGGTGGCCAGGCCGTACTGAATCACCACCTCGAAGCTAGTCAGGGCTGGTAAAGAGAAGGTCATGGGTGTGAAATCACAGTAGACCAGGCAGCCTGGATGACTCACCCTCCACCCTGACACTGCCAGTATCTCTGATGCACCCTGGCCTCACCTGGGGTTCACAGACCCCCCCCCTACTCTCCTCACCCAGGCCCCCTGCCCCACCAGGAGGTCAGACAGGAGAGGAGAGGCCTAGTTTCTAGAACCCTGAAGAACGGGAGGTCACAGCTTTCCTCTGCTTGCAGCTCTGTGAAGGGCTAACCGATGGAAAGAGGTCAGAGCAGAGGGTGGAGGCTTTGGGGGATAGACATAGAGTCAATCTGAGGAGGACAGAACTTTCTAGAAGTCACTTCATAAACTGTCTTGAAGATTTATCCATGGAAATATATATATTTTTAAGATATTTTTCCATGGAAATATATGTATATTTATATATATAATTATTTTTAAAACTGTTGCATAGTGTGAACATTATCACAATCTACTTAGCCATCCCCTTGTTGATGAACATTTGGGATGGTTCCAAGTTTTCTCTATTAGAAACAATACAAACTCCTCTAGTAAAATGTGCTTCTTTCAAGTCTTTGCTCAGATGTTGCCTTCTCGGGGGGCCTTCCTTGACCACCCAATTTAAAATGTCAATGCCCATTCTCCCTACCCCCACCCCACCTCCTTTCTTTATATCCACAGCACTATCCCCTTCTGCTATATTCCATGTTGTACCCATTTGTTTTGTTTATATCTGATGTTTCCCCTGGTGTGTAAGCTCCATGAAGGCAGACGTTTTGGCCTGTTTTGATCACTGCTGTCTCACCAGGGCTCCGTGTGTATGGCAGGTGCTCAATATGTGTGTTATAATGACAGATGTCTGTGATGGGTCAGGCTGCCTTTGGACAGAAGGCAGGATTCAGGTACCCCATCCCTAAATGGCTTTTTGCTTTTAAGCCTGCCGTTCTAGGATTTGGGGAGCTCCAGGCCATTCCAAAGAAAGGCTGATCATTTTGTTAATTATCAGGCTGGCAGCTCTGCTGACAATAATTACGGAGCGTCAGGAACTGAGACCCACAGCAAAATCTAACCCAATTAACGAGAATGTGGGGGAGGGGGGAGCTAAGGGCCTCGGCTTCCGGGCAGCCTGGATCTGGGTCTGCAGCTCTGAGTACCCAAGTGCCCCTTCTCTGCGCGCCACCCGCATCAGTCCTAGGCGCGCAGGAGGGGGGCGGTCACCTCCGTTGTCCAGCAGCTTCCCGCGGTAGATCTTGTCCTCCACCACATCTGTCCAGTAGAGGGCGCTCTGGCTGAGGTGGAAGTCCAGGGCGATGGTGTTGCGCAGGCCAGGCACCAGAACGCTGTAGTCCCCTTTGTGAAGGTCGATGCGCCGGATCTCATGGCGGTTGGAGAAGATGATGAATGGCTTGAAGGGGTCTGGGAGGGGTGGGAGATAGGGGTCAGCTTGGGGCTTGCTGCCTCAGAGCCACCCTGTCCAGGAGCAGGCGGGGTCTCTGCTGGCCCGGGGCCTGGTCATGGGTGGAAACCGCAGCCTTTGGCATCTGGCAGCCCAAACCCAGCCAACGGCAGCTCAGGGGCCTGCCTCAGCCTGCCCAGCCTTCCCCGCCACCTTTCACCCGTATGTCACCTAGGCTGCGGCAGCTCTCGCCGTCCGGCTCCAGCACCCAGCCCTCGTAGCAGGAGCACTTCACGCTGAACTTGTTCTGGTCGCACTTCTGGCTGCACTTGAGGTGCTTGGCACAGTAGCTCTGGATCTGGCAGGTGTGGTTGTCGGGCCCCAGCTCCATGCCCAGCGGGCACGAGCACACAATGCCTTCACCAGGTGCCACCGAGCAGTTGTGGCTGCAGCCTCCGTTATTCAGAGAGCACTGGTCTGCAGGGTGGCCGGCAGGGGACAGGACCAGGGTAAGGAGCCGGGATGAGGCAGGACCACGGCCTGACTGGGCCCCAAGTCCTGGGCGGCCCAGACAGAGCCCCGGCTCCCTGCCCGTGGCATCCTTCTTTTGCATTTCTGGCCAAGCGTCTGTCCCACCACCTCCCAGGCTCCCTCAGAGCCTGACACCCCCCACTGGGACCAGGAGGAGCACCCCCACATCACGGCAGCATCTGGTCTCCGTTTCCCTGTCCCTCCTTGAGCCCATGGCAGGTGGAGGGGGGCAGCTTTTCGCCTCTCTCAGAGGGCTGCCCTTTCCTTGATATCCCCTGATTTGGGTGTGATTGGGGTGGGGTGTGGTAGGGAATGTCCTGCCGGGTTCTCTGACACACCCTGAGAGCTGTCAGCCGTTCTCCAGGCCAGCCCCAGCCTGCTTCCTCTCCCACTCCTCTCCCCGAGCGACAGACGCTCTGCCTCTGCAGGGGAGACAGGCGGTCTGCTCCGCTCCTCATCCCCACGTCACACCACGCAGCCCTCCCTGACCCCTATTTGTTCTGCTCCTTGAACGCACAGCCTCCTCGCCAACCCCCCCACCCCCGCCGTACAAGATCTAACCGTCCGTCCTTGGGAACCCAGTTAAATCCCTGCCTCCTCGGAAGCCTGCCCTGACCATATCAACCCGCAACCCTGGTGCCTTCATTTTTAAAGGCAGCTCCGCGCTGTTCTGCCAGCTGGGTGTGGGCAAGGGGCCACAGGAAGGGGTTGCACTGTACTCTCTCCACAACACTTTCATAGCCCTGTGACCTTAGTCCAGTTATTTAACCCCTCTGCCTCAGTTTTCTCATCTGGAAGATGGAGATGATAATTCCATCGGCCTCACAGGGCCGTCTGAGGGATTAATATGCTATAATAGTGTGGCGTGCTCGGCACAGCCTCTTGCCCAGGTGAGTCTGAACTCAACAAGGGTTGTTGGTAACTGCTCTGGGGGTGTCCTGTCCAGCAGCCGGCTTTCCCGCTCTGAGACCTCTCCCCACAGAGCCTGTCCTGCTCCACCGGCGCTGGCCCCGGCCCAGACGCCTCACCCAGCCACCCTCCCTACTCCTGTCCCGGGGCCTCTCCGAGGCCTGGGCCTCACCGCAGAGCTCGCCCTCATCTGAGCCATCTCCACAGTCGTCGTTGCCATCACACAGCTTGTCGAGGGGCAGGCAGACTGAGGTGTTGTTGGCGCAGGGGTGCGAGGGCGGCCTGCAGGCCAGGGACTCACAGTTCTCCTCATCCGAGTTATCCTCACAGTCACTGTCGCCATCACACACCCATGCTTTGCTGATGCATCGAGCTGAGGGATGGGTATGGTATGAGGGGCCAGGCCGGGACAGGAGGGCTCTCCATGCCTTTCTTCCCAGACCCAGTGGGCTTCTCTAATAGGGCCGTGATTGTAATGCCTTGGGGTCCACTAGGAACCTCGAGGCCTTCTCTGTCAGATTCATATAGGCAACAGAAAAAGCAAGAATCTGCAGAGGGTGCTGAAGCTCAAATCTGGTGGTGACAGTTTTGGTTCCCAGGGCCCTTAGTGCAGACCCTGACCCCTTCACCACTTCCCCCAGGCATCATGCACAAAATTCTGTTTGTGCCCTTTGCTTCACAGTGTTCCTCCCCCCACCCCTCCTAGCACAGCACTGTCTCCCTTGCCACTCCCCTGCTCTCAGTATGGTCTCCTCCTGTCCATATTGCCCCAGTCCAGGCTCCCACCAATCCTTCTTTTTACCAGAGTCCTTGCAGCCAAACTTGACGTTGGGGTCACAGACGTGGGTCACTCCCTCACAGCTCTTTTCATCACTGGAGTCCATGCAGTCAGTGTCTCCATCACAGCGCCACCGTAGGGGAATGCACAGACTATCCAGCCGGCACTGGAACTCATCATTGTGGCAGCCGCCAGGAGGCCTCGTGGCTGCAGGGGACAGAGGGAGGGCATGGGGGCGGAGGGCCTCCAGGTCAGCCATTCCCATGTCTACCTTCCCAACCCCCCTCCTGTTCTGCCCAGTCCAGAGCTATGAGCTGAGGCAGGGATGGAGAGTTCTCTGAGCCCTGCTGACCCTTCTCAGAAGCTAACTTGGAGTCAGGAAGGTCACACCTCCCAGGACCCCAGCAAGTGGCTGGCTAGTCAATAATCTCTCTATTTTACACACCGGTGATCTATTGGCTAAGCAATTTGCTAGGCCAGAGCTCAAAGCACACCCCCCAACCCTTCGCCTAGCCTCTGTTGGACCCAGGAACTCCGCAAACACTTATTGAGCACCTCTGGTGTGTCGGGCACTGTTCCAGGTGCCAGTGTGAGCAAGACAAAGTCTTCACGCTCACGGAGCTCAAGTTCTAGCAGGGAGCGATCAAAGCCATGGAGACGAAGCTGGGTCAAGGCGAGAGAGGGGTGGGGATGCCGCTGGGTAAGATGGCCAAGGAAGGCCTCCGAGCAGCTGTTTGAGCAGAGGCCTGACTGACGTGAGCCATGAGAATCCCGGGAGGTGCAGCTCAGGCAGAGGGAACAGCAGGTGCAAAGTCTCAGAGACAGGACCATGCGGGGCATATTCATAAAATGCCCAAAGTGTATTTGAGGCTGCACGGCTGGAGTAGAGTGAAGGAGGAAATGAGTGGCAGAAACACAGGTCATCGAGGCGGTGGGGGCCCGGCAGGCTGGAGGGCAGGGCTGGGGAGTGATGTGACTCATGTGCTGCAGGCTCACTCGGGCTGCTGCACCGAGATCTGACTCAGGAGGCCGGGAAGCAGCAGGAGCGGCACCCGGAGGCACCCACCGGTGACGGTGCAGGAGCCCCACCTCCCTCTCACTCTGCTGTCTGCTCCCCACCCTACCCCCTCGCCCCCCACCGCCAATCGGTCAATGCCTGCATCTCGGCAGTGGCCTCCAAGCTGAGCTTCCTTCCTCGGGGGCCCCTGAACCTCTTTCTAATTGAATCCCCTTCTAGGATTGTCCTCTGAAAGCACCTTCCAGCTTCAAAGTCTTTCAGAGGCTCCAATGCCTGACTTTCACCCACTGATGTCATCTGCCCCCGTTGGGCACAGCCTCATTCCTGGCCGGCTCCTCCAGCCTGACGGGCCCCAAAAGGCAGAGGCGAAAGTGCTTGGTTTCACCCTCTACATCTTGCTGCTGGGTTCTCCACCCCTACCCACCTCCCATCTGAGGACCCTCCCTCCTGTCCCTTTGGCCACAGTCCAATCCCTCATCAGGGCCCTGTTCAGACCCCACCTCTTCCTAAATGGCCCCAGACCACTTTAGCTCACCACCACCGTTAACGGTCGCTACCAGTTACAACATGCCTGCTCCCACGGGCCAGGTCCCTTACATCCCCTCTCATTTCATGGAGGAGGAAGCCAAGGCTCAGAAGAAATGGCTTGTCCAAGTTCACCCAGCTTGTAGGTGAGGGGCAGAGTGTTTTTCCTGCCATACCACAGGCCTCGGGGCCCCTTTCTCAGAATCTCAAAGCACTATTACCTGTCCCACTCACCCAGCACTTCTGAGATGGCCCTTGAGACTTAGCGACTGTTTCCTGGGCCTCAGGTGACCGTCCCCACCCTCCCTCTCAGTCCTGGACCCCTGGCGGGAGCTCGTGCAATCATACTACTCTCAGTGGATGCACCTTCACTCTACAAGGCACAGGTTGTAAGTTGGAGGTCCAGGGGCCAGATAAGGCCTGCGGAAAGATTTTGGCCTGCAGTATTTTTAAAACTTTTAAAGTCCATTGCCAGTTGTTCTGGGTTGATTTGTGTTCCCTAAAAATATGCTGATGTCCTAACTCATAGTACCTGTGAACGTGGTCTTCTTTGGAAATAGGTCTTTGCAAATGATCGAGTTAAGATGAGGTCATTGGGGTGGAAAGAGGAAATCCAGACACAGAGACAGGCACACACACAGGGAGAACACCATGGGAAGATGGAGGCAGAGACTGGGGTGAAGCATATACAAGCCAAGGAATCCCGAAGATTGCCTGCAAACATCACAAGCTAGGAGGGAGCCCTCGGTAGATTCTCCCTCACAGCCCTCAGAAGGAACCAACCCTGCCAACATTTTGGACTTGGGTTTTGAGCTTCTAGAACTGAGATGATAAATATCTGCTGTTTAAGCCACTCAGTTTGTGTACTTTGTTGTGGCAGGCATAGGAAGCTAATACACCAGTGTTTAGGAGTGGGTAGGTTTCACATAAAAACCTGCTTTTCTGACTTCTCTTAAAGCCTGGGCAACCCTGGGTCTGCAGTCTTCCATGGAAACAATCAGCCAGAGCCAAGAAACAAACCTTCCTTGAGAGGGTCTGTGCCTTCCAGTAAACTCGGTCCCCACTGCCCCCTGGCTGGGCCCTGGAGGCTTGGGCCCTGAGGACCCTCACAGAGCCAATGCCTCTCTCCTTTGGTTCCCACTGTGCTCGTTCATCCTCACCCGCCCCCCCCACCCCGAGCATCCTTTTTCAAGCTCCCAGCTCTCGAGCACAGGCTGTACACTGAACGCTTTTTGTGCATGATCTCACTGAACCCCCACATCAGCGCTGTGATGTGGGCGCTATTATTATCCCCACTTTGCAGATGACACTCACAGAGGCCCACAGAGATGAAGTAACTTGCTCAAGGCCACCCAGATAGTAAGTTGCAGAGCTGGAGCGCAAACCCAAGGCCACCCAACTGCAAAGCCCGTAATCTTAACAGCGTGTGACGACGGTTTGTTGACAATCTCTCTCCCTCCCTCACAACAGGCAACTCCTGAGGATAAGAGCCATGTCTGGGTTATCTCAGTTCCCAGATGGCAGTGGCACACGACGGGGGGAGGCACGGAGGGACGGAGGGACGGCTGAGTGACTGGCACGGACGGTCTTGCCGCGCCTGCTGCCCCCGCACACCCACCCTGGTTGGTGCAGTTGGCGTGGGTCTCGTCACTGTAGTCCCCGCAGTCGTTGTCCCCGTCACAGGTCCAGTGCTCGGGGATGCAGCGCCCGCTGTTACACTTGAATTGAGTGCTGGAGCAGGAGTGGCTGCAACCGGCCTCATCACTGTTGTCCCCACAGTCATTGTCTGGGGGGAGGCAAGAATGGCAGAAGCGAGGAGCAGGTCAGCAAGCGGCCTTCTCTGTGACCTCAGCTTGGGGCCCCCACGCCCACCTCCCCATTCCCACCTCAGCCCACCCCACCCCCCCACTGAGAAAATAACAAACAGAAAAGACACAGAAACTGCATAGACTGCAGCATGCACCATGGCCCACGCAAGAGGGGTGGGGAAGAGGTGGGGGGGGGCCCACGACGGCCCTTCCCTGAGTCTCGGAAGGCGGCGGGTCGGGGACTGGACACGTTCCTTTCCCTTTCTCCTTTCAGCAGGGTGTGGGAACAGGGGTCAGCTTGCTTTGGGGGAAAGGCAGAGACTTCTCTGGTTTGGGAGGGAGTGAGGTGGGTGGAGTGTAGGTGAGGTGTCCTGCTGGGGAGGGAAGGGCCTCATCAGGCCCCCCCTGAGCGTGGGCACTGCTGGACCCCAGGCTCTGGGCACCTGGCTCACGGGGGGTATGGTCTGAAGCTGGGAAGGGTCAGGGGCCACTTCTGGAAGGCATCTGAGGGTGACTGAATGAATGTCCTGCTTTCGAGGCCTTGTGGGTGGGGGTTACGGGACTTCCCTCCACATTTTCAGGACACTTGAGAAAACTGGGGCATGGCTTCCTCCCTTGGGGTGTGTCCCTGCCTCTTTTCCACCTGGATTTGCTTGTCTCTCCTCCCCTCTGTGTCTTGGTCTTCTTGTTCCCACCTCGGTCATCTCCTCTCCTCTGCCCTGTCTACTTCTTGCCCTTCCACTGTCTTTCTCGGTCACCTCCTCTCTCCCTTCTCTTTCCCTTCACATCCTAGGAGCTCTCTGGAGAGGGGAGCTGCCTGGGGGTCCTGAGAGGCGGCCCGAGGCCGGCTCAGGCTCTGGGGTGATGGTGCATGTGCTTCTATGCACTGACCGGCAGGCTCAGGACAGGTCTTTTCGTCAGAGCCGTCCCCACAATCCTTCTCTGAAACACAGAAACCGCCAGGGCAACCATTGGCACACGAGACACAGCAAAGATGAGGGGCAACATGGCGTTGACCCAGTACATCCTCTCACACATTAGCCAGGGCTGGAGCCACTGATACAACACGTCACAACACACAGACACGACCAGAGCCACCAGACGGCACACACATGACGATCCACTGGCCCCCATGGCTCGGGGCTGAAATCCCGTGGTCCGTGGCTGACCGCCAGGTGGGCTCCCGAGCCTGAAGCCGGAGCCTGGAGGGTGCACCAAGGACCCCAGGAGCTGGGGTTTGCAGGGGGAAGAGAGTTGGGCACTGGGCTCCCCTTGCTCTTTCCCTCTAGCCTTTCTCACTCATTTCTCCCTGGCCCCCAAGCCTCTGCCAGAGAATGGGCCGCTCAGGCTCCGTCTGGGGAGGAATGGTGCTGATGGGTGACCAGGAGGGTCTCCCCTCGGTCCATACTGGTTTCCCCCATGGCATTTCTGGCTTGTCCTCATTGCTCCCAGCCGACCGAGTGGGGCTTCAGTGAATTGGAAGGAGGCCCCAGCTTGATTCTAAAACCCCTTTACCTCCCACCCAGGACCTGGCTGTAGCTTCTAGCTTTCCTAGGAATCGGGGCAGGTTAAGGGGGACAAGCTCTTACCATTGTCACATCGCCAGTTGATGTTGATGCATCTGCCATTGTTGCAGGTAAACTGCGTCAGGGGGAAGCAGGTGGGATAGGCTGTCAGAGAGAAAGAACAGCTGAGTAGGGCCCTCAAGATTATACAGCATCAGAGCCCCAGGCAGGTGGGTGCGGGGTCCCTCGTGGAACCAGCAGCCATAGCCCGGCCAGTCAGGGGTGGGAAAGCTAAGTGGCGGGGGCTCAGCCTGGAGCTCTGCTCATTCTTCCCCATCCTTCTGAGCAATCCTTTCTCAAGCTTCTAGCTACCAACCATTCACCCTGCGCTGAGTGCTTTTCATGCAGGATCTCACTGAATCCCCACATCAGGGCTCTTATTATCCCCCATTTTGTAGGCAAAACTCACAGAGGCCACAGAGATGAAGTAACTTGCTCATGGCTACCTGGGGACTAAGGTTTAGGGGCCCTCCAGCACCCCTGCCCCAGTGCACGTTCTCCCGGGCTCCCCCTCCCCTGTGCCAGTCTCGCCTCCCTGCTGCCCCCTTACCACACGAGGCAGACTCATCGGAGCGGTCCCCACAGTCATCATCCAGATCACACGTCCAGGAGATGGGGATGCAGCGGCCACTGGCACAGGAGAACTGGTTGGGTGGGCAGGTGCGAGCTGGGGACAGGGATGGGCGCGAGTGTTCATAGCCCTGTCCCCCTCTCAACTTCCTGTTCTTTCCTACTATCCTCTGCCTATCAGGAAGTCTTCCCAAGGGTCTCAAAGCCATTTCTCTTAGAGAAACTCAAAGCCATCTATGTGTGGGGCGTCTGGATGGCTCAGTCAGTTAAGCGTCCGACTCTTGGTTTCGGCTCAGGTCGTGATCTCAGGGTCGTGGGATCGAGCCCCACGTTGGGCTCTGCGCTCAGCATGGAGTCCACTTGGGATTCTCTCCTTCCCTCTCCCTCTCCCTCTGCCCCTCCACCTGCTCACACTTGCTCTCTCTCTTAAATAAATAAATAAATAAATAAATAAATAAATAAATAAATAAATAAATATCTTAAAAAAAAAACAACCAACAGCCATGTGGTCTGACACCCCATCTGCTTCACCCCATTTCTCTGGTGTCCTCCAAGGAGAAGATCCACCCTCCTTGCTCCTGTCTCTAATCTGAAGCCACGCTCTGTTCCCTGAAACCTCAGCCCTCAGAGCCAACCCCGTTCTTCTGGGCACAGGGAGAGCACTCCTCTCCCGCTCGCAGCCCCGTCCTCTCGGCCCTAATACCCCGCGCTCCTTTCTTTCCCAAGGCCGCTCTGTCTTCCCAAGCCTGGCTGCCCCCCCGCCCCCACCTCCCCCTCCCTGCCTGCGGGGCACCCTGTGCGGTCTGCCCCGAACCCACACCTGAGCAAGTGGCGTTAGACTCGTCTTCACTGTTCCCACAGTCGTTGTCCCCATCACAGAGCCAGCGGTTGGGGATGCACCGGTTGTTCTCACACTTGAAGCGGTCCGAGGGGCAGGTGTGCTGATCTGGGGAGCGAACAGGTTGGGGGTCAGTGAGAGGGCGGGGCCCAGCTCGCTTACCTGCTGCCCTGCAGGCCTGCCGTGCTCCCCACCCCCGGGGAGGGGGGTTGAGGACTCACGGCAGAGGGCCGGGGCCTCGTCGCTGTTGTCCAAGCAGTCATTGTCCCCGTCGCACTTCCAGCGCTCCTGGATGCAGCGGCTGTTGGCACAGGCGAACTCGCCCGGCTGGCACTGGGGTGGGGGCACGTAGGATGGGTTCGCTGCAGGCACCACAGGGGTGTGGGGGGAAAGTCAGACCCAGGTCATGGGGCAGGGGCTCTGCTCTCTGTACTATGCTTGCCTGTTGTATTATTTTAAATAATATCCCGAGAGTCATTTTTCCTAGGGCGTAATTCTTCATGAACAAATAATCTGGATGGAAAGTGCAGCTCTTTCTCAAGCCACAAGGGTGTTGTTTACTTGAATACTTTCAGTACTTCAGTATGACCTGAGACCAGGTGCCTCCGAGAGAGCCTGGAGCCCCACCCCCCGCCCCGTTACTTTTGTCCCTACTGAGAAGACCACTCCTCACCCGCTTCCTCCACGAACTGCCTCTTGGAAGTCACCTCTGGGACCCCCAGGGCCCTATCCTGGTCCCTGGGCTTTTTCCTTCACAGATGCATCAGCTCCACCAGAAGGAGTGAACACAGGCCCCAGAACTCTGCAGGCTGCACCCTCTTGTCCCCTGACACTCCTACCTCACCACCCCTGTCTGCCTTGAGCTCTCAGCAGTAAAATCACTATGTCCTTGGTCTGTGTTTGCATGGGTAACGTCAAGAAGCCCAGCACTCCCATGTCGGCCCCTGTCCCTGCACCCTGAGCTCTGCTGGATGCCTTTCTGACCCAACCATCTCTCATCCCCGCTCTAATCCCTGAAACTTCTGTGCATCCCGTGGGTGCCTACTGTCTCTCTTGCGGCCCTGGACCACTGGGCCTTGGTATGTGTCACCTTGCTCCTCGCTACTGCTTCCCGACTATTCTCTCTTTCCTGAAAAATCAGCGCTGACTTTCATGCTATTAGACTATACCAACCCCTACTTCTACGGGCCCCCAGGCCACTCCCTGGCATCTTAAGGGTTTTTAGCTCCTGGCTTGGTGTCACTTTTCCCCCATTCTCTCCTGCTCTAATTCTCAAGGATTTCAATGTCCGTGTAGATCCTTCCATCACCCTGGCCACTTGATTTCCCTCTCGGCCAATGCTCTTGCCTTCCACCTGGCCTCAGTCACTCCTTAGCTGTCTGCTAAGGCCCCATTGACCCATTTTCATTTCCGGGATTCTATCTTAAGGTAACAATCCAGAATATGGGAAGGCAGGAAGGTGTGGGAAATAGCAGGGCAAGTGATGAAAAAAACAGGCTCTGGGTCAGATTTCCTGAGTTCAAATCCCTATTTGGACTTTGGGCCTCAATTTCTTCATCTGTATACTGGGGATAATAAAATACACGCTCCCTACAGGAATATTTTAAGGAGTAAACAAGTTACTGCACGGGAAGTGCTTATAATCCTGTCTTAGTTCCTGTCTGTGCTCAAGAAATCGATGTTAGCTGTGATTATAACAAAAGAGAAAAACAACCTAAACATCCTGCAGTAGAGAGAAATGGTTGAGAAAATTAAGGACCGTTTACTAATGAAATATATTTCAGTCATTAAAAATTCTGCTGACGTATCTATGACCTACTGTTGAGTGACAAAAAGCAGAAAACAGAACAGCAGGTGGAGCGCGATTCCGTTTAAGTAAAGGTAAACACGTAGAGAACTGCTTGGGAGGGTGTCCCCCCCAAATGGTAACAGTGACATCCATGGATGGTGGTATTTGGGGTGGCTTGTACTTTCTCTTTATGTTTTTCTATACTGTTCATTTATTTATTTTTTTACAATGAGCATGACGTACTTTTATCTAAGAAGAGCCTATTTAAAATAATGTAACAATAACACAGAAAATGCTGTGACATATATGAGCCCAAGAGGGTGGAAGACATTTTATGTGCAGTATGATCTCAGCTATCTAAACCCAACCATGTCATGATCCTGGAGTCACGGGATCGAGTCCCGCATCGGGCTCCCTGCTCGGCAGGGAGTCTGCTTCTCC